CACACACACACACACACACACACACACACACACACACACACACACACACGTTTATAAATGAGTAGAAAATTTATTTAAAAAAATAAATAATCAAGTGCTCTGAGTCATTGAATGTGGGCCAGTAAGCTAGTGGCATTTCACACTTGAAATACTTCCTCATTCTGTTAGAGCAGACACCATGAAATAGCCTATAAAGGTGTTGTCAAAACAGAGTCTGACCTGCTCTTAAACTGCATGCAGTGCTGTTACAGTAACTCTAGACACATCAAATGACAACTTAATTTCAGGTGTGGGCAAAGATTTCTTGAGCACTGTTCATCTGGGCCGCCCTTAAGTAGCTTTCCTTCCCATCTTCTTTTTGCCTGGCTTGCTTTGAAATGCTGATACCATCCTCAACTTTTCCACTTATTCAACCTTTTTCTTTCCTGCTGATTTTCTGATCCATTTTCGTCTTCACACCTCATCATCCAATTCAAGCCAAGATCCCCACACTTCTCCTTTTACCCCCTACCCTCATCCCTTCTTCGCTCGGTGGACCAGCACAGCTCTTCATTAAAACAGATGTCAGGCATCTGTCAACATCCAGGCCAGTCTTGGCATGATTGATTTTTGGCCCACCTGCGTCTTTCGTAATGACCAACTGTCAGTTGTTTTACTGCCCGCACTGCCTTGCCTTAGTATTGCCTGTCACTGAGGCTAAATCTCTCAGCCCAGACCCACAGGGCATTATCTATTTGTCCTCAGATAAAATTTATGTAGGTACACCAAAGAACCAGCCTCTTTCCTACAATCACATTGTCTTTAAGGATGGTTATATCTGGGACATAAATCGCTTGCATTCTGTCAGTAAACCTAATATACGGCATACTTTAAGTTTCAATTATTTTGAAACAATGAGTTTTTGGACAGAAGCTTATAAATGTTTGGGCTTGCAATGTGTGTTCAGACGCTGAGGCTTCAGACGGTCTAGAGCAGAATGAAATGGCGACACAATAGAGCACTGACAAGACACATTTGTGGCAACACATTCTCCTTTTTAACTTTCATGCTTTTAATTTTTTATTTGAAAATTCATTTACCCACTCAAGTTCTTAAGGAGGCAGACAGCTAAATAAATAAATTACATTTTTAAAAAACCACAAACAATTACCCCAATAAACAACCGGTGATAGATTTAGGCAATTCATAACAGCTGTTATTTCTGTCCAGTTGTATTACAGTAGTTGTACACAGCTGAATATCTCTGGACTGCAGAATATGTATAGGGAAGTTGCTGACAAGCGAACTTTAAATAAATAAGAGGAACAAGCTTGAAGATCTAATGTTTTTACGATGTAAATATGGCTTTATAGTTCATCCAGCATGAAAAATGTGCTTGCTCAAGTACATAGCATGGGGCTGAGCAATAGGCTGATAGCTAACACTGATGTCAACATTATACGGTGCTGCAGTACAATATAATTAGGTATTATTCCAGAGGAAAATGGCTTAATTTTGCCTTCATAAACTAGTTTTCCTAATTTGAGAACTATTTTCTATACACATTTAAACTCTACCGCATCCTTGGATTCGATGTGAGAAAGAGCAGATTTCTTACACTGTAGCAAACCCATAAAACAAAGTCCAAACTAATCAATCAGGGCACAAATCTCAACTTGAACAGTAAATTTGATCAAGACATTTAAATTTGACCTTGCAGGATTTTGTTTCGGCCACAAGATGTAACTTCTTGAGTTGAGTTCAGACTTCAGTGTGACTCCAAAACATCAGATGATGAAAAACATGTCAGGAAACCTTATAAAAAAGCTTCATGTCCTGTGGCAGCGTCCAGACTGAGTGAAGATGTATAACAGCAGCTTCAAACTAGAGACAGCGTGAAAGAAGGGGCGCATCACTTCCTCTAGCTGTACTCACCTGGATGTCAAGCTTTTTTGATGATGTACAGAAACAATGTACAGCTTCCACATCTGGAACCCAGGCAAGTCTGAGGATTCTACTCTCTACTCTCTATTTATCGTTTCGTCACCCTTTTCCTCTTCTTCCCTTCCTTTCGTTCCCTTCTTGCTTTCTTAATCTCCTCTCCTTGCCCTCTTTCTTTCCATCTGCCTGGCAGGAGCAACTCAGAGTCCATGGAGAGCAGGGATGCAGCAGAAGGCATCTTTGAAAGAGAGCTCTGGCTACAGACCTTTCATCTAGTGCTATACCTGGCCAAGGCAGGCTGCAGGGTACCTTGGCTGTCAGAAGACATACACTCGATGAGGGAGGGCGAATGAGACAAGAGGAAAGGGAGAGGAATAAATGTAATGGAAGAGAAACAGGCAAGCAAAGTCTAAAAAGAAAAAAAAATGTAGTTTTAATAATATATTTATGATTTTGTCAAGCCCGCAAACATGAGAACGAAATAAGGATGAGTGAGGAATAGACATCAGAGGAAAAATGGGGAGAGCAGACAAGAGGGACTCAAAAGTAGAGCAGAATGATGAGAGACTGGACTCCTGCGGTTCAAACATCTCACCCAAATTTCGTTCTTTCACCTGAAAGTCAAAACCACTGAAAGTGCTTTTATTTGACTTTTGAATATATATTACTGTAATCACAGGCTCTTATTTCACTAAAAATATCAAAATGTAATAAATAAAATCGAATAACCTTATGAGATGTGTTAATTGGGGTTATTAATGCAGTAGCAGTTGGATCAGTTTTTAAATGTTAGGTATATGGTGCTGTGTAAAAATCTACATAATAACCAGCCAACCAAAGAAATAGTGTGCTAGGTGGATGGAGAGACGACAAAGGAGGAAACAGGCAGCTATTAAATGCTCCAGGGAGACTAGCCAGGTACTCCCAGTTGGACTGATTAACTCCGCCTACCAGGAAGCTACAAGGCAACACAGAGGGACAAACTGGGGGAAACATACTGCAGACCCAGCCAGGGCAGAGCGCCGTCACAGTGAGTTAAAGGTTGAAAGTTGATAGAGGTGTAAACACTATGTCAGAGTAAGGGACTGCACTGAAATGACTGCTGTTCATTCAGAACCTAGACTCTGTGCTGAACAGACCATCACACATTTGGCACTGTTATGGTCTACATTATTTCAGCCTGCCACTGCTTGGCCTCTTGCATCTGCTGCAGAGTATGTCTCCTTGACAGGCAAAGACTGCGTGCTTAGAGAGTGTGTTACCACGACAGGAGGCAAGTGGGGAGAAGGGTAGTTAATGTGTGTGTGCTTTTGAGAGCTTATATGTGTAAAATTCTTCTAAAAACAGGCTGCATGTTTCTTTTGGTAAGGCACATAATAACTCAAAAGCCTTCCTTTGACAGCAACTGTCTATAGCCGTGAAAGACCGTGAGTTTGACAAATGGATTCTCTTATAGCCGTCTACCTGGTTCTGCATGGGGAAATCAGACAAGAATGCTGCAAGGCAGCACTGTCCTTAGTCCTAAATGCCATGTCTGGGAACACAGACGAGGATCATTACTGAGCTGGACCGTGTAGTTAAAGCTGACAAAATGTCGTTTACCTCAGACATAGCCGGCCCTCTCAATTGTCTGTATCAAAGAGGAGAAAATGGAAATGTGTCTTTTAAGTCAGAAGGTATTTAAAGTGTAATCTGTTCTTGAGAGGTCATCATTAAACAAACAGTGTTTGCCGACAGAAAAAAGTCTGGCTTTCCATACTTTTTATCTCTCTGTTCCTCCTCCCCTTTGTATCAAAGACAACCTTGGACAGGATCATATTAAATGCTTCACATCAAACGACAGGGTAACCATGGAAGCCAATCTGTTTCATAAGTAAAAAAAAAATCTTTACAGAAGCAGATTTTTTGTGTTTGCACCACTCTGTGAAGCCTTACGAGCCTAAGGACAGCAATAAATAAACATTTTAAGTGAAAATTTGCGCTCAACCAACAATGTTCTATAATCTTTCCAACTGATGGAGAAAAAGGGTCTATATCAAAATACCTGTGATTCCTGAGATGTAAAGCTTTTGTTTGCAATGGAAATACAGAGATTTTCTGAAAATACAAATCTTTTGACATATTCTTTTACACAAAGCAGCTCTCCTTTTTCTTACAATGAATTATTAAAGAAAAGCCTGTAAAATGAAACTGAAAAATTCATTAAAGACAAATCTTGCTACTGGTGCAAAAAACCTCTCATATCCCTCCCTTTAAAACTATTCTTCAACACCAGCGTGGGAGAACTGCATTTCCACTTAAACTGTGTATAATGAAATTAAGATGCTTCACCATTCCAAACACTAGAGAATTTTATAAATGCAGTATTAATCCACCGGGGGAAATTATGTGCTGTTAGCTGCTTTTGTCATGAGAATATGCGCTAGGGAAACCCAGTCGACCGGTTTTAAATTACTTGAGTCTGAGGAGGGAATCTAACAAGGCCCCAGACTTCAGCTCCAGTCCAACAAGTGCATTATGTTTTCACTTGGTGGGGGGGCTGAGATGGCTGCCAGGCTGCCAGGCTCTCGGGCAGGGTGGCAGCTTAACAAGGAAAACCATTTAAGACATGAATGAACACATCCTCTGAAAACACATGTCAGCTTTAGCCAGTATTTTGAGTCAGCATGGCTTCTCTATTGTGTGTTTGATTCTTAATAATGACCTCGGTGTCACTTCTCTCTCTTTTAAATCCTCTACCTGAGCAAACCTAGAAGGAGAGAACAGGCGCTCAACAGCTGAAAAGAATGTCTAATGCTGTTATGAAAACATAACACAGCACTCACTTCTTATAGGTCAAAGTGAAGTTGAGGTAACGGTTCTTCGACAGAAAAGACAGAAAGGTAAGAATAAAGGCAAGGGCTTTAATAAACAGATAATTGCCTACGGATTCCTAGCACTTGGCTAGAATGACAGAGAGCTGCTGACAGAGATGTGGGTTCGGGTTGGCGAGTGAGAATCACGAGAAAAGATCTTGGATAGTGGAGTTAAAAATAGAGCATGAAGTGGAGGAGGGAGAGGAAGCGGGGAGGGGGACGTACCTGTGGGCTTGGAGGCAGCCTAGTTAGCAATGAGCAGCACCACTGTGGACGTTGATGGGCTTGAGGAGACAAAGAGCGGGGGGGGCAAGTGTGGGGTTGCGAAAGATGGGGAGAAATGGAAAAGGAGAGGAAAGGATGAGCATAAAATAAGGGGAATATTAGGCAACAGACAATGAGCAGGATACGGAAAGGAATAGGGAGGTTGGGGAAGGTAACGAGAAAACAAGTCAGATTAGCATGAAACCCCTTTTCTGAGTCAGAAACAGACAATAATTTCACAGTAGGCTGCGGATAGAAGCAGGATTGGCAATAGTCTGCAACTGATGCACACACACAAGCACAAATTGCAGATGATAGTGCTGGAGATTCCATAATGAATTCTTCCAGCAGCTACACGTTTATATAGACAATACAGCCTTATTGATTAATGCATTATTTCATGGCATGTTGCCTACTATCTAAGAAACAGTCACTCCTAAATAAGGTAGCCCTCCAAGTTTTTGGCTTTGTGCTTATTCAGTTTAAGATAGATGAACGGGCCTGTAAAGTCATTTTCACAGACGGTTGTTGCTTCTCTGTCGCCACTTTCCTTCAAACATTCAGACAACACCACAAGTGTTCATGTTTCTCTAACACCAGATCTTATTTAATTTTTTGTGTCTGCCTAGCAGTCTGTGTTGCTTAGGCCTCGCCACACTCAGTCATTAGTAGACAGTTCATTTAAACGATTGCACATGGTGACTGTAATCTGGATTCAAGATGATAACACTTCATCTAGACAAACAATTGAGCCATCGGGTGCTTTACAAATTAGACGCGCGTTAAATCAAGTGCTACAAGTTTTTAAAAAGGACCTCACGTTTTATTAAAAAATTGAATACTCATCGTGCACATGCTGAAATTATTAACAGACCTGAAGAGATTTGCTCAAAGCTTCTGGTAAGCCACCTGTCATAATTTCAGATTTCATATAAATAAATAACAACAATTCAACAGAGATGTGGCTTTAGAGAAGCTAGACAAATATTGACACCAGGAGGTAGTGAAAGAAAAAAAAAGGCAACAGTCCCATCATGGACAATTGATGTATTGCATTGTTTACTTCAGGGCTAGCCAGGTGCAGCGTTACGTTTTTGTCAGGGAGATCTAATCTGAGAAAACAGAACACATGGCCCATCATTTGGTTCCTAATAAGCTATTGTTCCCATTGTTCAGGAGGGATTCCAGTGAGTCATATATGAGCGACAGAAAGGGGACTTGGCAGGAGAAACTGTGCTGAGCAGCTGTATTGAAAACATCTTGGGATTTCAAAGCCTAGAATGTGGATTCTGAAGATTTTGTAATAACAAGAAAATTAAGAATTAATAGATTATAAATATATAAAAGAAAATACTGCTGATCCAAATCTTGTAGATGCTCAATGTATCACAAGAACTGATAGTGATGCTCATTTTTTCCCCTCATAACTCAGTCACTTAAACACATTTATACAGTGAGTAAAATATAAAAAAAAACCCTGCCTTATCTCAATGACAAGAACATAATGAGATTCAGAGTAACTATTCTAAAAACCTGGATACACGTGTATCCACTTACTTGTCGATTAGATTTATTTGCTGCAGCCTGAATAATGAATTATGGTTATAAATCACTCTGAAAGCATTCATTAGTTCTCAATACAGCTTATTATTGAGCATAACAAATTAACATGAGGTACGCTAACAAAACCACAGTTAATTATGGACAGTGTGACAATATCTCCTCCCAGTGTTGCCTACCACCACCACTTCCTTTTGATGTGCATCAATCTGCAATGATTTACCTTATTGTTTACCTTAGAAGAAACAATAAGCACCAAACAGGCCTGCTAATTGCCTTCAAAGTGATACTACGAGCTTTCATCTCCTTTCAATTCCGTATGAGTCATCATTAGTTGCATAATTAAATAAAAATAAAAAAAGGGCAACATTTTTTGTGAGTATTTGTTTTAACATGTACAGAGAGATACGCATCGAAGCCAAGCCAATTTAAATATTGTGGGAATGAGTAAATAGTGGAAACACTGAAATCCCTTACAAACCTTACACTGTTGAGCAAATGTGAAAAACAACATTTGCGTTGCAATAGCTGAAGACAGTCGACATTTATTTTGTAAAGAGTCAAATTGCGCACACTTCCCTGGATGCTTATGCTATTTGGAGTTCATTAACATAAACATTATTCTGTTAAAATATAATAATTAGCACTCACTTTCACACTCGTAAATGCAAGCTTAGAGTCTATATGTGCAAAAATTAACCATCTGCTACAGCTACTTAACTGTGGCTGAGAATCGCCTACATTTACATGGATGAGAAGGATTTATTATTTTAACAGCTTCAGTGCACAGTAGCTGTTGCACAATAAATAAATAAATGTGGTAGCACTGGAGTTTTCCTCTGGCCAAATAATACCCACTTACAATGAATGACAGTAGTGCATAAGTAGCACAATATTCAAAGCTTGTGCAGCCTTAGGTGGTGTAGAAACTAAGTGCAACAGATGTAATTAAGACATAAAAACAATGGAAGAAATTGACACTGATGTATAATTTTCATTCAACATGCCTTCTCAGCTAACGCAAAACTTTAATGGGATGTTTTTGTGACTGCAAAAAAGGTTTATGAAAAACCCTTTCTGCTGTACGATTTATATGCTAATTTATATCATTGGCAAGCAAATCCTGGAATATACAACTGATTGATAATATCCAGTTATCCTTACATTTTCTCTATGTGTACAAAGTTTTGGGTTGCAATAGCAGCTGACTAGGACACTTAGTCTTTTACTCATCATGGGCATGAATGCCACTGTAATTTGGGGGTTTGGATTATTTAATTGTAAAAAGTCTACATAGACCATTATTAAAATTTGGTTAAATGACCTTGACCAGACTCTTTTGGTTTCAATCACCAACCTTTTGGCATCTTGGCTTAATATTTTATCACTCTTCTTGACAGACATTTTATATTTTGTTTACATTAATTGGACTGTCTTTTGAGCACTTGATGCAAATTTTCAGTAAGGTTAAAGTTGAGGCTTTGGGAAAGCTGAATATTAGTCTGCTTAATTCATTCCAAAACCAGTTTTAATGTGTGTTTGGGATCATTGTCGTGTTGGAACACCAACTGTATCCAAGTTTCAGACCAACTTAAGCAAAACTGCTCCATTGCATGACCCTACCACCATACTGGTCAGTTGGTACAGTGCTCATAGGTTTGAAAGCCTCTTTGTCTTATTTAAACATTTCTCTTTTCTCCAGGAGGCATTTGGCTCATCCATGTGAGCAGCTGAAAATTTCAGTTGAGCTTGAAGGTTGATTTTGGAGCAGGTGCTTCCTGGCCCCCTCTCAGTCCATGCCAGAGCAAAGCTGGCTTCACTTCCAGTCTCCAGGTTCCTGGGATGTTCCTGAACATCCTAAGCAACATCCTTCCTCACATTTGAAAGTCTTCTTCCGAAAGACTCAAACTGTCATCCCACTTTTGTGGGGGTGTATTTATAATACCTGTATCTATATTTTTGACCCTGTGTGGATTAGAGAAAATCCTAAATAAATTCAAATTTGTGCACTCAATTCTTGTCATTAAAAATGCATGCTTTACAATTAGTAAAGTTAAAACAACCAAGCCCAAAATTACATTCATGCTCATGAAATGTAAACTTTTGACCACAATGGTGATCAACTCCTACATTGTGCTCTGTGTGTCGTTGGAGTCTCCTTTGAGGTTCAGGTGCCAGGAAACCTTCTAAAAGTCCACTAGAAAGCATCCTTCTATGTCCAAAAGGAAGCTCAACAGATCTACTTGAAGATGAAGCAGTGACGCCCCCACTTTAACGTTTTTAACTTTACTTCTATCTCAAAAACAAAGTTCAAAAACTACATGTGGAAACAATTTTGGGAGTTTGGTACCATGCAATCCAACCAAATCTCCCACAAAATACCCCTAAAGGGTCACAGTTAGGGTTGGGCCATATCATACCGTTCACGGTAATACCGGTATAATGTTGGGCAATGATAAGAAAATGAAATAACGTGATAAAGTTTTTGCACTAATAAAGTTGTGGAGTTGTAAAGTATTTTGTCTAGTGTCAATTATATCGTCGGTTATATCATTATCGCAAATTTTCAAATCTATATTGTGATAAATATTTTTGGTCATATTGCCCTGCTCTAGTCACAGTTGTGAATATTATCCAAGTCCCCAAACCAGATTAATTAATGTTATATACCCCAAAATGTAAAACATGAATGCATAATTTCATCTTTAAAATTATTTTATAAAGTAGAATTTTCCATGCGTTGAGTGTGAGTACAACATTTGGCTCCTCTGAACAGAAAAATGTATGGCAATGAAAACAAGATGTTAGCACATACATTTTTAGGGCTAACTTGGAAAATAAAGCTCATCATCAACACCATAGCAACATAACAATATATTGTAGTTTCCTCATTCGCTCACCTCTTTTTCCTCTTGCTTTTCTCTTCCACATTCACTTGAATTTTAACTTGCTGTAAAGAAAAAATCCCAAAAAACAAACTGCATCAGCCGACCATTCTCTTGCTTTGGGAGTCAGAAAAGGAAGATGGTCCAAAATCTTGGTCAAAAATCAAAAACCCACAGGATAAAACCACCCTATGAATGAAAATTGAATTCTGTCCATCTCTTTCAAGTACTAAATATGCTCTGGCAAGAGCCACAGTTATTACGCTTTGATGAGACTACTATGTTAGAACTGAGACATCACAACTCAGCTTGCTGATTTCGTCAATGTCCCTGCTGAGAAAACCTAATAGAAAAAACTGGAAAAAACTAGCTTATAGATCGATATGTTATACATTTTTTATATATACATATATATATACATACATACATACATACATATATATATACATACATACATACATACATATATATATATATATATATA